TGTGTACCGTGTTGGCGCATGCGACGAATGGCGCGTCCCGTAGACCTTAGAGGAATCGTCATCGCTTCCGCGTCCATCTCCGCTTCAATCACTGTCATCCACATTCAGAGTTGATGGGTATTCTGGTCTGCCTCGATCTTTCTGACCTGTCTGTACCAATGCTGTGCTCATGAAACGCCTTTACCAATTCAAAATGATATCCAGCGCCGTGTCCCCAGACACGAAAACGCGTGGTATAATGTAAAGTCCTGTGTGTGTGCGTGTGCGTGTGCGTGTGCGTGTGCGTGTGCGTGTGCGTGTGCGTGCGTGTGCGTGTGCGTGTGCGTGTGCGTGCGTGTGCGTGTGCGTGTGCGTGTGCGTGTGCGTGTGCGTGTGCGTGTGCGTGGTGCGTGGTGCGTGGTGCGTGGTGCGTTGTGCGTGTGGGTGTCGGTGTGGGTGTGGGTGTGGGTGTGGGTGTGGGTGTGAATGTGACTGTGACTGTGACGGGGTGTGTGTGTGTGTGGGTTCTGTGCTGAAGTATTCCAAGGCCCCCCCCCTCGGTCGTAAGCGCACACGCATACACAGACGCACACACACACATACACACATACACATACACACATACGCGCGCGCGCGTGCATCTCCCCTCCCGAGGATCCTTGGGCGCCCCGACGCATCCCTGGGGCTCTCCAAGCCGAATGGGTCCCTAGAGGCTTCCAGGTTACCAAAGAGAAGGCAAAGGTATCCATCAGGAAAACCCAAATACATCAAAACATAGAAACTGAATAGGCTCTTGCATATGTTGCAGACTGATTGGCTGAAGATAGTTGCGGAATGGCATCGGAGGTGAAGAGGCGCCACATGAAAGCAATGAGTGCCCGAAGAACCATTCCAGGCAACCCAAGACAGACCAAGAGCGCCCTAAGATGGCCAAGCAATGCCCCGAAGGCAGCTCCGAGAAACTAATCAGACAGCCGGAGAGGTGCCCAAGAGCGTTCCGAGACGGCACCATTGGGTCCCCAGAGAGCCCAAAAACGACGCCCAAGGGAACCCAAAGCAGTCCCAAGGCGGCGAAGCATGCCCCATGAGACCCCCTTAAAGGAATCCTCCTCCACCACCTCCTCCTCCTCCTCTTCCTCCTTCGCCTCCTCCTCCTCCTCCTCCACCACCTCAAGGACTATCGACCAACATATGTCACATGCTGCGGCCTCCCGGGCGGTGCTCGAAACGTCGCCACACAAGGGGCACGTTGATGGCACGGTCTTGCCGCAAGCAGCGTGGTCATGCCTGCATAAGCTGGCACCTGCTTCCCCTGTGTACACGTCCGTCGGAAGAAGTGGGTTGACACGAGCACTAGGAAGGCATTAGAAGTAGATTGGATTTCCGCCCGCCCCGTGAAGGTGAAGGAACAAGGAAAACCACTCGATCATTGAGGTAAGACGGCGCCCAAAAGTAGACTGGAAACCGGGAATTCTGCAATACCTACTTTCAACGACCGCAGTGCAAGTGAACGCGATCATGCGTTCGCCGTCTGTGCTCAACCCATGCTCAGTTCTCCTCCTCCCCGGACTACTTCCATGAGAAGGCGAAAACCCACCCCCAGCCCCAGTCCCAACGCCCACCCCCGAGCCCGCGATCCGGGGGGTCGGGACTGGGCGTGGGGGTGGGTTTTCTCGGTTCCTGGACCCCGAAAACCCTCCCCCGTCCTCCCGACCCCCTGGATCGCGGGTTCGGAAGTGGGGTCGGGACTGGGGGTGGGGGTGGGTTTTCGCCTCCAACCATGCTTCGGGTCGGACGGAACGGGAGGGGGGGTAGCGAAGGGGGGGCAGCGAATCGGCTCACGCAGCGAGTTCTCCCAGAACTTCCCAGCGTCGGAGGACTACGCGTCGAGGGAAGCACCCGGCGGCGGGGCCGCAACCCTCTGCACGAAGCAGATTCCGTACCCGTAGATCGGGCATCTCCCCCTACGTGCGGGGCCCAAAAATATACCCCACCACCACCTTCCCCCCCGTCCTACCTACAGTCGGACTTCGTTGGACAGGGCACGCGAGAGGGCACAAGACCCTTCCGAGGGCCACATTGCCATAAGAATGCATGAGGCACGGGTCGCGAGACACGGGACACAAGGGTACCCTTGACTTGGCAGGGTCGACCTACTAACCCGGGCCGACTGTATGGTCCTCCTCCTCCTCCTCCTCCTCGTCCTCCTCCTCCCCCTCCCCCTCTTCCTCCTCCTCCCCCCTCCTCGTCCTCCTGGTGGTGGAAAACTGGCCCATCACCTCCCCTGCGTTGCCCCCCGATGCGTGTGGCCTAGCTCTCTGCCCCGCCGCGCAGCTCTCTCCCGGAGCCGGGCGCTCCTGCAGCCTGAGGCGGAACACCCAGCGCCTAATTCAGCGCATGCCTGGCGGCGAAGGCAGAGGACTGACGGAGGTACCGGGTAAAGAGACAAAGAAAGAGACAGCAAACACAACGCGAGGACAAGAAGCCACAGTGGAAACAAGGGGATGGACCAAGAGATGCGCGAACGGGA